AGAAGTGTGTTTTGTGCTTCTGTGCACTGTTCTTCACTTCCACACTTGTCGAGTGTAATGTTTAGTAGGTTGTGTTCAGTTCCTCTTTTGGTTGTTCATCACTGCCCTGCACCGCACTGGACTGGACTGGACTGGTTCATCTTCTGCTTCACCATATTCCTCTCGCTGCCCTGTCAGTTTCCATGTGTCTATCGAGGTCCATTCCTTTTCCTCTTTCTTCTTCCTCCCTAATATAGTTATGCAGGTTTCTTTCCACATCTCTTTCACATAGTTCCAACGTTCTTCCGCAGAAAAACAAATCATAGACCCTACATATTTACCTAACATCCTTTCTGCTGCTCCACAGGGCCCACTCAAAGGTTTACATTGCCAGTGTACTACTATAACTGAAAAAGGGTATGAACCTCCCTGTGACAGATCACCCGAGACTTACGTATAGTGTTGTCCAAATGTGGAAAATCCCATGGAGACAGGCTAAAGAATCTAAAGCTTTATTCTCTTAGCCACCGAAAGGATAATGGCCTATACGGTACTTAGTGATCGGAGTCGCCCGAACATCGGAGTTCTGCCGAACATTCGATATGAAGATCCTCGTGGAAGCCCGAAGAGAATCACTCATCAAAGTGCGAAAACCCGTGTGCGTTCTTGCTTTTTCCTTCTACCAGTTTGTCGCCACCAGAACACGCTACCTGCCAAGACTGCAACTGCTGCGCCAGTCGACAGCTTCGAGAAAAGGTTGGACAGCTAGCTGGCGGTCTATAGCCCGCGCTTACCCACCCGGGGTACCGACTAGGTCAGTACAACCGAACAATTCAGCGTAAACCTGGCATGTCCAGCCCCGTGCCGAACCTCCCAAGCTGCCACTAAAATGCCGAACTGGACTGAACATGAGGCTTTCCTGTTAGGCGTCTAATTTCAAGTAACCATACCACCACTCATAACACGACTATCTCGATTCCTATTACCCTTCCTATAAACCTACCTTTTACTTCTCTTCTGCCTACCCCTATGATTTCGTGGTATTTATTAAGATTCTCCTTACGGCTGCTTTCCTTCCCGCCTTCCCTGAATCCAACTGGGTTTCTCCCAGCCCTCCATTCTTCTTTTACCCAAGTTGCCTTATCCTACTCCCTCCCCAACGTTTTCGATAGACATACTTTTGTCTTTCTGTCTTCTTTCACAATCAGCCTGAATAGCCTTCTGGTGACACGACATTTCGGGAACCCATCTGCGCCTCAGTTCTTAGACATACCATGCGCCCCTACGGATTAACTCAACGCCAAACGGCCTATCGGCTATGCCAGAGCTAGAGGGCGGGGTGGATAGGGCTGCTACATCCGAATTCACCAAGAACCTGGAATTTTTCTGCAAGATTTAGAAGCTAGCGAGGAAAAGTAAAAACTCGTAGAAATGAATTGAACATTGAATTGAGTTGGGTTAGTTTGAGGACGGTAGGGTTCCTAAACGCATCATTTTCACGGGGTTCAGTGAGGCGTCCGATGACGTATCTACATCTAGATTGCTGGGAAACTGGATAGTTCCCGAATCACTAGCAGCTTACCTGCATGGATCAGAGTTCCTTGTGGGTGGTGAACATAGAGTAGGGATCAACTCTGAACTGTCCTCTTGCAAGTCAGTGGAGATTGGAGTGTCGCAAGGCAGTCCTGGGTTCCCCACACTTTCTCGTACGTATAGGTGTGCTCCCGAATATCACGAAATCTCCTTTGGTTCTCTACGCTGAGAAATTAAGGATGATGAGTATACATGTGAACTTCAGGTAGATCCAAACAGATTTTTCACCTGGTCAGGGGAGTGATTTGCGCCTTTAAGCGCAAATAAATGTGCACGTATGCACATGGGACACACAGTTGACAATACCTTTGGTATTGACGAGACTCCTCTACCGTCAATACCGATCCATAATGACTTGGGAGTCACAGTGAGTTACAAATTTAAGACCCCAGCACACTAATGATCGGTAGCAACTCGGGATCGTAGAATGCTAGGCATTGCGCAGAACATTAACAAAAATAAGTGGCAATATCTTCCCATCTCTAGTTAGGTCCAGGCTCTAAACTCTACACAGGGGGAGAACACTTTTACTGTTTGTCCTGGTGCAAACTTGACAGACGCAAAGACCAATCACTAATTATTCGGACTTGTTACATACCCGCGAATACGAGACCAAGGAAGAACACGATAGCGTAGTCGGATGGAATAGTATATTCGGATGGTTGTGCCAAAATACCGATGCGTTCCAACTAACTGGCTAGAAAGTCGAATACGAGCAGTGCAACGTAACACGACAGCGTGCCAAATGGCGAAGATGCTTGACCGGGTGCCTTCAGCTTAGTGAGTCCAGTTAAACCATCAAGGTCAGCATCGATGTCGAAAGTCGTCAAACCCTAGGCTATTGGCTTTGGGGGAGTGTGTGACGCCACAGATCAATCCCCCCTAGTGGGTTCATGAGGACCCTAAGACGATACAAGCCGGATGTAAAAACCCAGTGGTTTCTCCACTGGTAAGAACTCTTCCGATGGGCTCACTGCTTGAAGTGGCCCCCGGTTGTCTGAAATTATTCTGGGGTGTCGTGGTAACTATATAATAAAATACAATGAATTGAATTGTACGTCGATAGCAGTCCTCAGTTTTCTTTGACTTTCCGTCCACTGCTCGTTGGACCTGGAATATAAATGAAAGTCTTTAATACCACGAAAACGTTTCGTAAAAATGGGAATATAAGTGGAATATATAGATAAATAAATAAATAAAGTTTACGCTTTCTTGGCAAAAAATGTTTCATTACGTGGTAGTAGTAAAAAATTGACATAAAAAGGCGAAATGTACGAGGAAAAATAATGCCTCGAAAAAATTTTGAATTAGTCAAAAAATATGGTTGTCACACCTTATTTCACACCACTGAGTTGAATACTACTTTAAGCACCCCGGGAACCTAACTGTTCTGCCTAATCATGTTTTCTGCTGCGGCGATGGTTGTTGCCGCTGTGCGTTACCAGGCACATCGTCAAGAATTTCGATGATTGAGCTATCCGTCAGTCGGATGTAGCGAGCTGAAACGTCACTTATAATGGGGTTGCCTTCGAAATAAGCTGGTTTCAAACGGTCGATACTGACAGTATCTTCACGCCCGTCTCCCTCAGTTATATAGAATTTCTCGTGTCGCTTAATCACTTTGAATGGCCCGTCGTAGGGTGGTTCAAGTGGTCGACGAACGGCGTCGTGGCGAACAAACACGTGTGATGTCTTCTGTAAACTGGGGTGGACGAAAACACCAGTCGTTTGAGGTCCAACTGGAGAAGGCCTAACTGAACGCATTGCGTTTGTAAGCCTAGTCACGTAAGATGCCGTGTCGGAAACATGTTTGAAAACTGAAGGGGAAACAAATTCACTTGGTAGGCGAAGAGTGGTCCCATAGACGAGTTCTGCAGGAGTGCATCCAGCATCAACTTTCAAAGCGTTACGAGTACCCAGTAGGACTAGAGGCAGAGACTCGGTCCACTGAAGTATGTTTGCAAATGAAATGGAAACTTTCGGCTGTCGATGGAGACGCTCTACCATGCTACTTGCTTGTGGATGGTAGGCTGTCGTTCGGGACCTGGTGCAACCTAAAAGTGCCGTTAGAGCGTGAAATAATCCATACTCAAATTGGCGCCCACGGTCGGACACCCAAAGTTCGCGATCTATCTTTTGACGAAAACATGAGCTACTGTTTCAGCAGTAATATCCTTAATAGGTTCTGCTTCCGGCCTTCGCGTGAGGCAACCCACGCAAGCCTAAAGATAAGCACCTCCATCACCTCCTGATAGAGGTCCTACAATATCTATATGGACGTGGTCGAAACGCAAGTCTGGGGCTAGAAAAGAGCCTAAAGGGCTTTTCGTGTGTCGCGTGACTTTACACTTTTGACAAGCTAAGCACGACTGGCCCACTCCTTAACGTCTTTGTTCATCCCAGGCCAGCAGAAACGTTGTGCGATAAGCCTAATGGTGGCTCGTACACCTGGATGAGAGAGTTTGTGCAACGTATTGAAGACGTTGCGTCGACAACTCTTCGGAACTATTGGGCGTGGTTGACTAGCAGAGACATCGCACAAAATTGTATCCTTGTCTGATCCAACAGGACAAAGTCGCAGTTTGAGAGTTGTGGACGACAACTCATGATGCAGCTCAAGGTCTTCCTTTTGACGCCGAGCTAGTTCAACGAGATCAATACCCTCGATATAGTTTATCGAAGCTATTCGAGATAGTGCGTCGGCTGCGGAGTTGTTTGCTCCAGAAATGTGGCGGATGTCTGACGTGAACTGGGAAATGTAATCCAGCTGTCGCGACTCACGAGGGGAGTATTTGTCAGACGCCGAGCTGAGGGAAAACGTTAACGGTTTGTGGTCTGTGAAAATAATGAAATCACGACCTTCCACAGAATGTCGAAAATGGCGTACAGAACAGTACATGGCTAGGAGTTCCCTACCAAATGTACTGTATCTTGTTTCCGCGTCTTGCAGCCGCCTCGAGAAAAAGGCTAACGGTTGCCACTGGTTGTCAGTCAACTGTTGCAAAACTGCTCCAATTGCTGAATCAGATGCATCAACAGCAATACTCAAGGAGCATTGGGGTCATGATGCATAAGCATGGTTGCGTTCGAAATGGCTTCCTTGACTTTAGAGAAAGCAAGTCTAGCCGCGTTGTCCAGAGACACGAACTTCGCAGTTCCTCGAAGTAGATCTGTGAGTGGTCTCATGACAGAGGCACAGTTAGGGATAAACCTTCGGTAATAACTTACCAGGCCATTGAAAGTGCGGAGATGTTTCACAGTGGTCGGCTCTGGATAGTTTGTGATAGCCGCCACTTTATCTCTCAATGGGCGTATACCTTTGTTGTCAATGGTATGCCCAAGGAAGCTGAGTGATTCAACTCCTATTTCACACTTCTGTAAGTTGACTGTGATGCCATGTTTTTTAGTCTTTCGAATGCGAGGTCCAAATGTTTAAGGTGAGTTTCCTTATCTGGACTCGCAATTAGACAGTCATCGATGTAGACATGAACAAAATTCAAACCACGGAAGACATCGTCCATAAAGCGTTGGAATGTTTGTGCTGCATTCCGAAGACCAAATGGCATGCGCAGGAATTCAAACAGGCCAAAAGGAGTAATAATGGCTGTTTTCGCGATATCTTCTGCTGCCATAGGTATCTGGTTGTACGCTTTGACCAAGTCGATTTTTGAGAAAATGTTCATTCCGCATAAGGTTGCGGTCAAATCGTAAACGTGAGGTATAGGGTAGCAGTCCGGAGTTGTTTTGGCGTTAAGCCTTCGGTAATCACCGGTCGGACGCCAGTCGTTGCTATCCTTTTTGGGAACCATGTGCAATGGCGATGCCCAAGGACTGTTTGACGGTCTGATAATGCCCAGTTCGAGCATGTGGTCGAATTCATTTTTCGCCGTTTGAGCTTATCGGGGGCTAAACGGCGCGCTTTGGATGCCACAGGTGGACCTGTGGTTGTGACGTGATGCATAACATTGCTGGTTATGCACGGAAGAGTGTGCTTCGGTTGTCGTAACTCTGGATATTTCTCCAAAACTGCCTGGTAGGACGCGTCGCCTGATTGTTTAGTTCTAACGATGGCTAAACTCGGACCTACATAGGTGGTGCCGCCAATAGATAACTTTGTGTTGTTATCTATCAGTCGTCGACGGCGAGCATCTACGAGTAGATCGTAATGGTTTAGCAAATCTATGCCAATGATGGGCATAGAAACGTCAGCAAGGGGGAAGATCCAGTGGATAGGTTTGTGTAAACCTAAGTTGAGGTAGGCATACTGTCTCCCGAATGTCGCGATTGCCTTGCCGTTGGCTGCTTGAAGATTGAAGGATGGGTCGTGATGACGCTCCTTTGTCGTTGCTGGAAGAACGCTAACTTCTGCGCCGGTGTCGACGAGGTAGCGGACTTTCGTTTTAATGTCGGTGACGTAGAGCAAACTGCTGTTTCCGCCGGCTACGGTTGCCGTGAACACGTGCCGGCGTGACCGTTTCCCGAGTTTATGTCCTTCTTAAAACGGCGTAGTTTCCGACATTTTCTGGCTTCGTCTCCGTAAGTGTTATGAAACCAGCACCATTCAGGGTTTTCCACCCTGTTAGGTCTAGTTTGGGGCCACCACGAGAATCGCTGCGATGCGCTAAGATGCGTTTCTGTTGTGTGCTACGTGAGCTACGACTTCGAGATCGTAGCAACTGTTTCACAGAGTTGCACAGCTTGTCACCTCTGAATCCTGGCGCTCTGGTTTGTCGCAGATAGAATATACTTTGGAGATGGGTCTGCTGGAAATCTCCAGTATTTTATCTGCTGAGGCTGCCAGGTCATCGAGTGGGACTGACTGCAGCGTCACCAACACGGTTTGCGCCGGTTGTGGTAGTTTCGAGAGAAATAGTTCTCGGAAGAGGCCATGGTGGAATGTTCGCGTCCCCACAACTTCTCGCATGCGTGCAAGGACTTCAGTAGCTGAGTTGCTGCCTAGCTCGATGTTGCAAAGCAATTCGTCTAGGTGCTCGCGATCTGTCAGATCGCTTTTCTTCAAGAGTGCGGCCTTGAGAAGTGCATAAGGATAACTTACTTCAGGACCAAACGTGTGTGCTGTAACATGCCTGTTTAATTCTCACGGTAGTGACCGTATGACGGCAAGAAATCGAGAATGAGGATCTGAGACGCCCTGTTCTCGAAAATCGGCCTCGGCACACAGAACCAATGTTTCTGCATTGTCTGGCCAATATGGCACGAGTTGGATCGTGTTCGCAGTCGGCTTAATACGAATAAGCTTGGGAGTGTGGTCGGACATGAGAAAGTATAGTAAATGGATATACAAATGTTATCGAAATGAAAACAATATACAAATATAAAATGGAACAGGGTGACCGATTCAATATTTGTTATTGGTCGGGATATGTGGTCACGCCGGGATATTTGATCACGTCGGGCTCACCAATTTAGGATTTGTCCTGGTGCGAATTTGACAGACGCAAAGACCAATCACTAATTATTCGGACTTGTTACATACCCGCGAATACGAGACCAAGGAAGAACACGATAGCGTAGTCGGATGGAATAGTATATTCGGATGGTTGTGCCAAAATACCGATGCGTTCCAACTAACTGGCTAGAAAGTCGAATACGAGCAGTGCAACGTAACACGACAGCGTGCCAAATGGCGAAGATGCTTGACCGGGTGCCTTCAGCTTAGCGAGTCCAGTTAAACCATCAAGGTCAGCATCGATGTCGAAAGTCGTCAAACCCTAGGCTATTGGCTTTGGGGGAGTGTGTGACGCTACAAGGTCAACACTGATAGATGCCACATGAGGGAATGATTGAGCCATAAGCTCATCAGTTTTTCTTGTTGAACGTTGGTTTTTGTTAACGCAGCCCTATCTTGTATTGGTGAATTCAAAGTAGTCCACCTGCCACTTGAGAGCTCCTTAATATGATCACGCGTTTTCTATGCCTCTTTGTTCGCTTAAATTTGTGGTTCGTAAGTGGCTCGTAAGATAGCGTTGCTATCTCGTAGAACGTTTTTCGAGAGACTGGCATTAGAATGCTGCTCTATCCAACGGTTGTCGCAGTTAGCCCTTTGAATTTGGCACCGAAATAATAATTACACATATTTCATGCAACAAAAGCCGCATGAAAGCAGACCAGTTTACAGGTGCGATCACCTTAGGCCGATTCTTGCGCAAGAACCAGACTTTCTGAAGGAGCGGTTCCTGGGCCAGCCTGTTCCTAATTTTTGTATGTGACCTTTCACTCAAATATCCGGGTCCATCCTCGTATTCCCCGATGACATCAAAATATGGAGAGTGACAGATAGGGAAGAGGATCCGAGGGCACTCCATGACTAACTGTTGCAGCTAGAGCCCTGGCCAAGTGCTAATAGTTTGAAATTCAGCCTGAAGGAGTGCAAAGTGACATATATTCACAAGTCAATGGCTATGAAAACGAGCGTCGCCCGTGACAAGTGCGCAGCCACTAGGGCTTCCACGGAGAAGGACCAAGAACTACACTTTTCTGACACGCTTGATGTTATTACCAACTATTAAGGAATTGCTGCGGAGAACGATACTATCGTAAACTTTCTTAAAAGATAGCCTTCGGCCGCAACCCTTGAACTGACCCTCGTGGAATATAAAACCCATGTTAGACCACACCTAGAAGCGTCCAAAACGACAAACCCCCTCTTTGCTGAAAAGGGATGCGAGTTCTGTCCAAAACGTACGGAGAACAATGGAAAGATGGTTGGCCGGACGAACAGGCAAAACTTATACACAACGCCTTAGACAACTCACATCACTCATTCCTAACTACTGAAGGAAAAGAGATGACAAAATAATACCAAGCGGACCACTTTAGAAGGAGAATATTACAGGTCCAGAACCGACGGTCTTGTGTGAACCTCACTGGCATGACTCACCAGATGACGAAGACGATGGTGAAACTCAACTTCTCGCACGGAGTATGTGTCTTTTGGAACGCCGTGTCGAAAAAAGTATCCACAATACATAGATTGACTCCTTCAAACCATATCTCAGTATGTGTGTAAGGGATAAGATGTACCACGAACGTCCACTGGCAGCGGATGAAATTATGGTCATCCGTCCACGCTTTTTCCTGGCCCTAATACTGGTGGTGAGGCCCACCCCCTCACAATATTATGACCAGTAAAGTTTATTTCTTCACAAGAGCTTTCTAATCCTCTTTTGTCATTCCAAACTCGCCGTGCTTCCAGCACTCCTTTTAAACTAATGTTGAATACTTAACTAAAGGTGCTTACAGCGAAGGGAACTTCGACAGGTTGGGCAGTCTTATCGGTGACTCGGTTGCGTTGCCAAAAACCAGACGGCTGTTTGCGAGAAAATTTTTAAATGGGCAGTCGCCGCCTGCAAAGCTATTAGCCGGTAAAATGAAAGGACTTCTGCTACCACTGAATGAGCATGACAGAGCGATAAGGACGAAGGCCAAAGACCTAGAAGCGGGGGCCCAAAAGCTACAAGTTTTCTCTGCTTGCACTACTGATTCTGGGTAGGTTTATTCAGCGTCAACAACGTGGTGAACGTACGTAAAGAATATCTTGGTAAAACGTCTCTATCCTGATCCGTTGTCCGCAAGGTTTTTGGGCTACCTTATCGGCCGAATGCAACTATATTTGAGCCTCCTACCTAGAAGATCCCCATGTTTGGTCAGTGTGAAATTTCGGAAGGGTCACTTGACGCATATGGGTTCACTATACTGCTTCCCCATCCACTTTGGTGCTAACTCTTTGTATTTAGTGGATATTTGGGCTTCGTGGAGACGTCATGCATGTTTTTATGATACTCACACAGCGTTAGTGCACCTACTTCTGATGGGACGTGCACATTGCCTATGAAGTTCTTGTTTTGTGACCTTTCATGTTGCAGTTGTACTGCTGTTCCGTTTAAATCCCTGTAGATTTTTGTGGTAAGCTTTTGAGAGCCGATAAACGTTTTCTCCAACGGCAGTTTTAATTTCTTACCGAAGCAGCCTGGTTACTGTTTGTTGCGGGGTGGATTCGTTGATAGCGCACTGGATTTTGCGGAAGATTGTGAAGACATGATAACTAGGGAGCGATATGTATTTACAGTGGCACGCAGTCATTTTCGTCGCCCACTACTACCCAAGGATCACAGGATGAGGATAACGTGGCCCCACTGACAATGGATATCAGCCGAGGATCCAGTGGTGCAATGCACGGTTATCGGTACTTAAGCTAGGTCCAGATCGCCGTGATGCTTGGACAAACTAGACTAAGACAAAAACTTCTTATATGATAGAAAAGATGGAACTTGTCCGCTACGATCAGCTTCTGTTTAAATGTATGACAGCACTGGTTTGCGATAGGTCTTCCAGTCAAGCTGCGGTTACCTTTCGCACTTCCAACCAAGTACCACTGTTGGTGATACTAAATATAATAGGCCTTTCACTACCTTCACGGACATTCACCTTCTGTAATTAATGCTTGTACAACAATCTAACAACCCGTATGATAAACACATGCATCTCACCTTAAGTGAGAATTACTTCGTAATCTAAAATGCTGACCGTGCACAGTCAGAAACAACAGTTGCTTCCAATAAATAAATAAGAATACTGCAAACCATCAATTGAATAATCAGTGACAGTCTCTGTGAATTGGGCATGTTACGCAGGAATATGATGATTCCCCTAAGACGGAATTTGAACACTTATCATAGCCAGGCATCCTGAACAAATATTCCAGTGTTAATGTAGATATGGGGTGGAGCCCAAAATAGACATACCTTATGGTTATGAGGTATCGCAACTAATATGAAGAGATCAAATGAACATAAGCAGGCCATTCTGAGGATACCAGAAAACTCAGACAACAAAATGTCACGTATACTTCATATTCATTCCAATACATGCGATCACTGTCAGTGCAAAGGGGGAAAACTAATTACTTAAGGCTCATTCCCACCCCATAGTTGAGAAATACGTATACTTCCGCATTTATATGTATATTAGCCTACCATCACAAATTCAAGTTTACCACTGCATATACATGCTGCAACCTTAACGCAAAGGTAAGGGTAGCTTCACAATTGCAAAGAAGCTGACCTACTTTCTACCCTAGTCTGATAAATGCCTCCCTTATACTAGTTTTGCATGGGTCACTGTTAGAATCGATGTTTCACCTCCCAATTAAGACTTATAGCAAACGGCATACCAAGAATAAAGCTGGACATAACAAAATGGTATCAACCATAACTATGGAAGCTTACCTTCCACTTAAATAACTAATATCATGAATGCAGTATCTGAAGACAGCTGCAACACAGGAGCAAACGGACGACAATCGTAGCGCAGCAGTCGTTCATGTGATGAATTCCTTTAGAATACACCCCTTGTGGAAAATGAATCAGAAAAAATGCCTGAGTGGTTGAAAGTTCTTATAAAGACACTGATTTACCATTTATGTGAAGACAAAAGCAGCCAATGGGCCACGCTTGGCACCTTTGGCCATACTTCCCGGTTGACGTCTTCTGCAGTTACCATCCCCCAATAATAGTATTGCTATCTCTATCCTCATAACCCGTCCTATAATCTTATTCTTTATTGTTTTCTTCCTCACACTTCCTCTTCATGGATGGTGTTGGACATCCCCTGAATCTCCTTTTTACAGCTAGCTCGACCAACTAACCAGTGTCCGGACACTGCATGACCCATATGCACCACAGTACTTGGAAAATTTACACAGTCCCTACAAACCTAATCAATACCTAACCGCCCATACGGCTAACCAGAGCGAGTGGGCAGACCTACTGAGTCGAAATCTGCCAAAGACCTGATACCGTTGCACAGGACCTAGAAGCGAGCACGAAGAAACCGATTGGTTTACCCAATCTCAATCAGATATTGAATATGGAAAGTATCACAGAAGGAGGCGTTTTTGAAAAGGAGTGTATTGTAGCGCATTCGAAATCTTACTCATTCACCCTAGAGTTCCGCTTTCCAACTGCCTCACCTCCTCGTTTTCCAGCTCCACCGCTTTTCAGTTATCTTTTATTATTCAATGTAAGTACATCCTATGTGCTTGCTGAGTCATCGGCTTACCTTTCTTTTCATTTTTTCTTTTCCAGATTTTCGTGGCCACCAAACACACTGCTCTGCATGCTCCCTGCAGCAACGTACATATCTACAGGCTAGACGAAGACTTACCAACAACTGGTCGTTACAGTATTTTTTATAATTATTCCAATGGGTCACGTACTTGCAACTTATCGAGATCCAAAGTCCATGCCTGATATTTTTACGGGGCCAGTCTTTGACCCACTTGATGGGTTTCCTGAAGGTCGTAAGCAAAGAGAGTTTATAGTACGTAACATATATGATATCATATGTGCTACTTAGTTACTTTACTTTTGATCACCTCAAATATCCTTATTCTTCTGATTAACTAGTAATGTAAGTTGTCATGCACTCGAAAACACTAAGTTTGAATGATTCTGAGTTACAACACGTAACTAAAAATCGAAGTAACTATCAAGAATGCGTTCTTGGTCTTTACTTTCTCGTTGCAAAATGCGTTCTTGGGAAAGAAGAACAGCATTTCTTATATTCTGTAGTATTTTCGATGTTGTTGTGCTTAGCTTGTCAAAAGCTTTCCAGTTAACTTATAAGCATTTCTGTATGAAGCCGGCCTTTATGAACTTCCTTGTTGTGTTACAAAACTCCAGTTATTTCGCTGCTTTTGGTTTCCACGTTCTGTATGGTCTGTTGGCATTTGGGTTCATTTTTTCTGTATTGTGTTTTATATACACTTCTTGGCTTAAGAATCAATTCCATTATATTCGTTAAAACATCTATATGTTGCAATCTCATCGTTATAAAAGAGTATGCAATAGTTGTGGTGATTAGTTCCAACATGTGTGTATGTCAACAAAGATGGATTACAAGTGCTGCAGGAAACCCGACTCTTCCAGATTCGGCCGTTGGCGGCAGTGATCCAGGAGGTTGTAGATCTAATGTCTAGAAAACGAGTTGACAAAATGACATTTAACTGCCGACCAGGATGTGAAAATAGTTCTGAGCAAATATGTAACATCATTCAAAACTCTGTTTGGACTCACACAGCTGTGTAAGAACTAATGAGGAGTTCTCATCTGAATTAACTACGACCGGCGGTGTCCGTCAAGGTTGCTTGTTGTCACCGTTCCTGTTTAACTTCTTTATAAATGTATTGATGGGAATAACCCTAGGCACTTCCGGTTTCACAGTGATTGGTCTTTGGAGAGCATATATAGAATACGCCGACGACGTCTTGTTAGGTGAAGACACTCACAAATTCAGAGTTCACTGAACAACTCAGGCAGAAATCTTTTTTTATCTTAAGTTTCGCACCCGTTAAATGTAAGATGATACTTCAAAGCTAATCTACAGCTACTTAGTTTGAGTGTCGAAAGTAAAGTAATAGAATGCATCGAACACTCCACTTACCTACGCAGCTTCACGCGCTCTAACGGGTTGCTGACGAAATCGCAGCTCGGATAAAAAAGTCCCTTATGTTTACCACCTTCCCTGCCACCAACTAGCGAGATATCTGATTACCTGTTAAGGAATGAGTATACTGTGCTGTTTATTGTTATGCCGCTATGAAACATAGTGGTTCAGAGTACGAAATATGAAGAGAAATTCAAATTTTTGACCACATGTATTCGCAGCATTGCTCAGGCAAGGTTAAATCAGTTTATGAATAATATATCAGGGCCAAACAAAGGGTTTTAGCTAAGTAATTCTATCAGGTGACAGAATTTCAGCAACTAAAGAGGCTTGGACATACTTTGAACATGTCGTTCCACAACCGTCCTCGACATCCAATGATTGCAAAAGTTGAATTAGGTTGTAAGAAGGCGCACCATGGTCTTATACAGACGTGGCACCAGTGAAAAAATCCCTAACTTGGTTTGAGCTGTGTGGGGAGGTGTACATTGTCTGCTTAAGGTTCCTGAGACTTTAGAGAATCTTTAGTGGCACGGCTAAATGTTGATCACAGTGGCATGGATGCTTTCACTCCTTGAAACCTTGTGAGGCTTAAATAGTTTCGCTAACCTTTATCTTCAAATATTGATCAATCCCATACACCTCTGGTATCAATTTTATCCGCTCACTTGAAATTTCATAATCTAAAAGCAGTAATTACTTGACAGCGGTGTAGGTGAGCATCTTACTGCTTCACACTGGTCCACTAAGACGCTGCAATAGTGAAAGTTCAACCTATGCATGAATTCACGTTGGCACCGCTCTGTATATGTGACATACACTAGCAACTAACACAACCTACGAATTAAAATGTGTTATGTGTTAATGAATGTAATGCAATGGCCGAGTGTTTTTCTAGGTTATTGATCTTATTGGGGTCTGCCGTTCTATGTTTAGCTAAATTCCTATGTTCTGTTAATCTAACTGACCCCGACCGGCTAGTTTGACCTATGTATTTGACTTCACAGTCATTACATGGAATTTGGTAGATTATATTATTTTGCTTAATTGGTTCTATCGGATCTTTTAGCCGACAAAGCTTACCTCTAAGTGAGTTTGTTGGTTTAAATGCCACCCTAATTCCAACCTTGTTGAGAATCCTACGTATGGTTTCTGATGTTCCTTCCTTGTATGGTATCACAATAGAGGTGTTGATTTCCTTTCTACTTATGTTGTCACTATTATTTGTATTTGTATTAGTGTTATTATTTTGCTTCTTGTGTCCGTGTGAATTTCTTAATAAAATGATGGGGATAATTATTAATTATTAACGCTTCTTTTATGTGTTTCAATTCCTTATTTAAGTCCTTACAATGACTAGTGAGTTTCTCAGCTCTGTTATTTAGACATTTGACTAAACCCGCTTTAACTGACACTGGATGAGATGACTTGAAGTCTAGATATCTGTTAGAATGTGTTGGTTTTCTGTAGACGGTAGTATCTAAACCACCATCTATCCTTCGTTTTATTCTGCAATCCAACATAGGTAATTCTCCTTGTTCATTTTCTACTTCGTAAGTGAATTGGATTGCGTTAACTACTGAGTTTATGTGTGTCAAGAAACTGTCGATATGTTCCGATTTCAACACTGTAAATGTGTCATCTACATATCGCCACCATATCTTAGGTGTCGGATTATATGTTCGTAAAGCCATATCTTCCCAACTATCCATAAATATATCTGCTACTATAGGGGATATTGGTGATCCCATTGCTACTCCTTCTGTTTGTCTATATATCTTTCCCTGAAACTTGAAGACTGTCGAGGTTAAGCATAACTGCACTCCTAACATGATTTCACCAACCGATGCCTTGGTTCTTTGAGTAAGTTGTGAGTCAGTATCTAGTTGATTTCTGACTGCCTCCAGTGCCATATTGATTGGTATTTTAGTATAAAGACTTGTTACGTCAAAACTAACCATTTTTTCATTCTCTTCTATGTGCAGGTCATTAAGTTTTTGTTTCAACTCGTAAGAATTTACTAGTCTAGAGTTGGAACGGTCTCTAACAGGACGTAATACTGATGCTAAATACTTTGATATCTCATATGTTGGTGTGTTCCGGAAGTCAACTATCGGCCTAATGGGATAACCTGCTTTATGAACCTTAATAGTACCGTAAATTCTGCTAGGATTATTAGTTTTTGGCATTAAAGTAAACCATTCGGACTTACCTAGAGATGGCTTCAGTCGGCGTATCAGATCTGTTGTAGATTTCTTAATTTTATTCATGACAGTATCTATAGGTTTCTTAATCTCTTCATATGGCCCTGTTTGGATATGTTCATCCATTTTTTTAAGATAATCCGATTTGTCCATAACTACTGTTGAGTTACCTTTGTCAGATTTAGCAATTACTATACTATTATCCTTTCGTAGATTGTTTAAAGCTGAATTTTCCAGTTTCGTTAAGTTTCGCTGTGTCTTCTTTTGTTTTTTAAGTGCTAATGCACACTGCGCTCTAACCTGTTCAGCAGTTGTCACATCCACCGAGCTTAATGCTACTTCTATGCTAGGTATGACATCTTCTGGTTTTAGATGATCTACTGTTATGTTGAAGTTTAGTCCTTTTTCAAGTACTTTCATCTCAGCTGAGCTTAAGGCTTTCGAGGAGAGATTGACTACCCACTTTGTTCTATCGATGTTCGATGATGTTTCCTTTGTAATTTCATTGTTTTCCGAAGCATATTTTTCTTGCATTAGTTTACTGAACTTTTTGATTTGATTGCTTCTAGATTTCTTGAGAGTAGCTAATCTTGCTTTGTCTGATGTTTCTATTATAAATCCATAGTCTCTGCAGTTTACTATCTTCATAATTTTACATTTAAGTTGTTCAATTTTATTCCGAATGGTACTTAATTTCTTAATAATCCTGTGAATTTCTTCTTTCAGACATAGTTTGCTGACATGTTCTATGTTCTATGTATTGGGATTCGTATGCGAAGGTATTTAGGGATAATTTGATTTTTCATGCAACGAATATTGAAAATACGATGATTTGTGAAACGTGCTTCAGTTTGTGAAAGTCGTGTGAGTTTATTGATTAGCCTTCGAACAGGAAGACCATAAGTTTCATTAATATAAGTGAAAAACTTGGGCACTGTGGTAGAATGTAATTCCATATTAGATTTGTTTATTTGATATAAAGCGCACAGTGATACAGTATTATATATATATATATATATATATATATATATATATATATATATATATATATATATATGCTGACAAAATCGAAAAGGGCAACAAGCAAACTATGTCTGAAAGAAGAAATTCACAGGATATTAAGAAATTAATACATTCGGAATAAAATTGAACAACTTAATGTAAAATTATGAAGATAGTAAACTGCAGAGACTATGGATTTATAATAGAAACATCAGACAAAGCAAGATTACTATTAAGAAATCTAGAAGAATCAAATCAAAAAGTTCATAAACTAATGCAAGAAAAATATCTTCGGAAAACAATGAAATTACAAAGGAAACATCATCGAACATCGAAGAACAAAGTGGGTAGTCAATCTCTCCCGAAAGCCTTAAGCTCAGCTGAGATGAAAGTACTTGAAAAAGGACTAAACTTCAACATAACAGTAGATCATCTAAAACCAGAAGATGTCATACCTAGCATAGAAGTAGCATTAAGCTCGGTGGATGTGACAACTGCTGAACAGGTTAGAGCGCAGTGTGCATTAGCACTTAAAAAACAAAAGAAGACACAGCGAAACTTAACGAAACTGGAAAATTCAGCTTTAAACAATCTACGAAAGGATAATAGTATAGTAATTGCTAAATCTGACAAAGGTAACTCAACAGTAGTTATGGACAAATCGGATTATCTTAAAAAAATGGATGAACATATCCAAACAGGGCCATATGAAGAGATTAAGAAACCTATAGATACTGTCATGAATAAAATTAAGAAATCTACAACAGATCTGATACGCCGACTGAAGCCATCTCTAGGTAAGTCCGAATGGTTTACTTTAATGCCAAAAACTAATAATCCTAGCAGAATTTACGGTACTATTAAGGTTCATAAAGCAGGTTATCCCATTAGGCCGATAGTTGACTTCCGGAACACACCAACATATGAGATATCAAAGTATTTAGCATCAGTATTACGTCCTGTTAGAGACCGTTCCAACTCTAGACTAGTAAATTCTTACGAGTTGAAACAAAAACTTAATGACCTGCACATAGAAGAGGATGAAAAAATGGTTAGTTTTGACGTAACAAGTCTTTATACTAAAATACCAATCAATATGGCACTGGAGGCAGTCAGAAATCAACTAGATACTGACTCACAACTTACTCAAAGAACCAAGGCATCGGTTGGTGAAATCATGTTAGGAGTGCAGTTATGCTTAACCTCGACAGTCTTCAAGTTTCAGGGAAAGATATATAGACAAACAGAAGGAGTAGCAATGGGATCACCAATATCCCCTATAGTAGCAGATATATTTATGGATAGTTGGGAAGATATGGCTTTACGAACATATAATCCGACACCTAAGATATGGTGGCGATATGTAGATGACACATTTACAGTGTTGAAATCGGAACATATCGACAGTTTCTTGACACACATAAACTCAGTAGTTAACGCAATCCAATTCACTACGAAGTAGAAAATGAACAAGGAGAATTACCTATGTTGGATTGCAGAATAAAACGAAGGATAGATGGTGGTTTAGATACTACCGTCTACAGAAAACCAACACATTCTAACAGGTATCTAGACTTCAAGTCATCTCATCCAGTGTCAGTTAAAGCGGGTTTAGTCAAATGTCTAAATAACAGAGCTGAGAAACTCACTAGTCATTGTAAGGACTTAAATAAGGAATTGAAACACATAAAAGAAGCGTTAATAACTAATAATTATCCCCATCATTTTATTAAGAAATTCACACGGACATAAGAAGCAAAATAATAACACTAATACAAATACAAATAATAGTGACAACATAAGTAGAAAGGAAATCAACACCTCTATTGTGATACCATACAAGGAAGGAACATCAGAAACCATACGTAGGATTCTCAACAAGGTTGGAATTAGGGTGGCATTTAAACCAACAAACTCACTTAGAGGTAAGCTTTGTCGGCTAAAAGATCCGATAGAACCAATTAAGCAAAATAATATAATCTACCAAATTCCATGTAATGACTGTGAAGTCAAATACATAGGTCAAACTAGCCGGTCGGGGTCAGTTAGATTAACAGAACATAGGAATTTAGCTAAACATAGAACGGCAGACCCCAATAAGATCAATAACCTAGAAAAACACTCAGCCATTGCATTACATTCATTAACACACAACCACACAATAGGATGGGACAAAACCACTGTACTTAAGTCTAATATAGCTAGGTGGAGAGAGAGATTAATTACTGAATCTTTGTTCATCGAATCCACACCCAACACATGTAATAGGAATGACGCAACACCTATACCAGAGATATGGAAAACTTTACTACCAATCAAAAAACAAAAAACAAAGAGAGATCAGGTGACAGGACTATAAAATCAGATGTCGAAAGAAGTGTGATTACATTGATATGATTATGAGCAATAATTTATGCTCGAAACGTAATCAAGTAAATAATACTGTATCACTGTGCGCTTTATATCAAATAAACAAATCTAATATGGAATCATATTCTACCTTAGTGCCCAAGTTTTTCACTTATATTAGACCACAAATCCTACGTGCCTGAGTCGGCTTCGCAGCTGTAACCCGATTGATCAATCCTAGAGCACAATTCTGGTGTTTAGGGGAGTGAAAAGCTTCGCATACCTGTGTCTAGACCTACTCTTAGAAGTATATCGGGATTAAGCCGGGAGGACTTGTTGTAGGGGCTATAGCCACATGGCCATGTAGGGTTTATGTGAGGCGATTGGGTCTGTGATACTGATAAACTGTGAAGCATTCAGAACTACTTTACTTATTCTTCTCTGAGCATTGTCACGAGATCCCTGATTATGCATATCAGCTAAACCTACGGAAGGCTTTCGGTGTTTAGACTGAACTGCTATCTCTAGATGATTCATCGAAACCTGTCGCTCTAACTTGTCTATCTTTTGTCACGGTTTTCATAATTCCCATAAATTAAGTCATTGCTGGGTTTGAGTTATGATGAGTTATGGTAACCAGATGGTTTTAACAGCAAGAGTTAACAGGACTAACCCGTTTTGCATACTTGTTGCATTGAGACCTTATCATTTCGTAAGCACCCGTAATCAACTCACCATTTTACTTGCCTGGATCCTTGTCAAAACAACTTTATCTGCAGATAATGTACGACGAACAGTTGATAGAATAGTTTTCATGAAATCTCATTTTAACTTTCTATGGTTTTACAGATATCGAACTGACCTATTAGTCCTAACCAGCGTCGCTGGTATTAGTCTGGAATGCATTTGTTTTGTCTTTCAGCTAACGGAGGAGGAAATGATGGCTGCAGGATTGAAGCCTCGCCAGCGGGATTACTGTGCTCACATTTTAATTGCTTTGAATAAGTGTAGAAGGGAACACACAATACCACGTTTATACTGTTCTGACCTTCACCATCAGTATTCACAGTGTCAAAGAGAGGACCAGCTGCTTCGACGGAAGGAATATGAACGCGAGCGTCGCCAGTTACAAAGGCATGGACGACAACCAAATTCGGATGCTGAAGAGTTGTAGAATATTGTATATCATCGCTTTAGGAAATAAAGTATTCTAGATAGCAACTTAAAAGTCTTCTTGTTTCACCCAGTAAACAGCGGCTATTACTGGAACACTTGTTATGACCATGCGCATTACACTGTCTTCTCTGTGAGTATGGTTGAACTTATCTCTCCCACTTAAAAGCTTTTTACTTGAGCTACTCCAGTGGTGTCCCTTAAAATGAGACACCGCAATTTTCAGCCAATTTAGATTTGTTGTAACATTGACTCATGTACAATATTATTTCTATTTAGTGTATATTGGAATCCGGCACTTAAGACCGTGACATTTACCTCTTATTTCATTTGAATTCTCAATATATAACCTGATAGCCGTCCGAGCTCTCACACCTCATATCGTATTCCACTGCAACACAACAAAGGAAATGAAAACCACAAGACTGAGGTTGTAGAAAGCTATAAGCAGACAAGTCTAGGTGAAAGAAATAACGATTAGGCTGGTGATAAGCTGCGTATGGATCTTTGCTACATATCACCTGGTATCCAACCATCGATTTCAGTTGTCATGAGGACCCCAACTTTCGGTATGCATTGATACAAGCAAAAGTATGTCACAATCACTGCCGGCTGATGTCATTTTGGATGAATACTAAGGGGAGAACCATACGGTTCGACATCGTGCATTCCACGGAGTGGTGGTTTAGTTTGCAGTTAACATTGAATGCACCTTCGTCTGCAGCTTTGTATTGATTCCAGCTGATTTATGCATCACACAGTGTAACATTATTGTTTAATGGATTACGTTCCGGATATAATTTATTGTCCATGGTCATATCAGGATGTAAACAACACCGTGTGAAATATCTAGTAAATCAACTAAAATGAAACAATATTTTACCACAGGGCTCAAGTTTTACTCATATTATCAAGACGTCTTCAGTTTTGCTAAATATGAGTGCATAAGTTTTATAGATTTGTGGACTCAGCTGATTACCAAAGGCTTCAGGAATCTAGTTTCAATCTTCAAGATATTCTCCGTTTATAATAGGACAGTCTGTTTATTGTTTTGAAATGCTGATTGTATTGCTGGGGACGAATCCAATGAATTCCTGCTCCTCCGAAACATGGCCATCCGGTAGTTTTTTTCTGTTCCAAAAAGCTGGTGTTTTATCATGTCTGCTTCCTTTTGAAAACTGATTTTATTCAACTAGTATTTCTGTTACGTTGCTGCCGCCGTAGTTAGGAGTTCCATTACTATTGTTCACTATTGGTTCACTGCAAATTTGGGTTTTGACAAAATTCTCTCACTTTCAAACAATGGAAGTTGTTTGACGCTCATGTGACTTTTAGATAGTGGAGAGCATAGGCAGATCAAAACCTCGCCTGGTTAACTAGTCCACTAGTTACTAGCCGGTCCTAAGCCCGAGTAAAAAGGGAAGGTTGGGCATAGGGCTAGCAATCCTACTCCGAGAAACCAATCCAATCGCTAAAGAAATTTTGAAGAACGAAGAAAATAAAAAAAATCACAAACCTATTCCTCACTGGAATCGGGGAGACGAAATGACGCCGGTTGGTGAAATCCTTCTGAAAGCCAATTGGCCTGTGTCTTCTCTCGATGAAAGCGAAAGTAAGCATGGGGACATGGAATGTCCACACTATGTTTGAACCTAGCAAGGCTTCCCAGATTGCAAAAGAGATGAGAAGGTATAGCATAGAAGTACGAGGAATCTGTGAAAGCAGGTGGAATGGAATTGGACTCTCCAAACTGTCAACTGGAGAGTAAATAATCTACTCCAGTCACGCAAACGACAACCATGAGCACACTGAGGTGGTGGCTGTCATGATGTCCCAAGAGCATCGAAGGCCCTTATGCAGTGGAAACCTAACTCCTCTTGCAGGATCATGACAGCAGGGTTCAACTCAAAAGGAAGGAAAGTCACAATCGTACAGTGCTACGCTACGTACCTACAAATAATGCAGATGAAGAGAAGAAGGGGTAATTTTACAGACAACTGCAATCAGTACTAGACAGGAGCTTAGTTGGCGACATCCAAGTTCCACTGGGCGACATGAATGCCAAACTGGGAGCTGACAACACAGAAAGAGAACACTAATCATGGGTCGGGAAGCACTCGGTGAAATGATAAATAAGAATGGAGAACTGTTTGCAGATTTATGCGCATTTAACGATTTGGTGATTGAAGGCAGTGTATACAAACACAAAGATATCCATAAAGCGACATGGGTTTGATTTCACCAGATGGACACAGTACAAATCAGATCGACTTCATCTCAATCCGAAGAAAGTGGAGATGCAGTCAACTGGACACAAGATCAAGAAGCGGAGCAGATGTAGGTTCACACCACTCACCATCTAGTCCAAGGAACCTACCTTCAAAATCAAATTGAAAGATTTCACAGAAGTCGGTGGTAAACGACCACAGTTGAAATTCAACACCCAGAACAAAAGCTGGAGGATGAAACTACAAGGGACATCTTCACGTCAGTCATCAAGACAACATGGGAGATATCGAGCAACATCCCTGAAGAAACCTGTGTGGATGAGCACTGGAACTCTTTGAAAGGGATATGGAAGGAAATCTGCATAACTGTATTACGAAGGAAGAATAAAGAAGATAAGGAATGGAATGGATCTCCACGGACATATGGGAACTGATAGAGCAGCAAGAGGAAGATGGTGAAGCAGAAGATGAACCAGTCCAGTGCGGTGCAGTGCAGGGATGAACAACGAGAACAGGAACTGAGTACGACGTATAAAACACTACACTGGACAAAAAAGTGAAGAATAGTGCGCGCAGAGATAAAAGACACTTCCACGACACTGGCAAGTGAAGCAGAACAGGCTGCAGGTAGGTAAGACATGACAACATTGTATCAAACAACCAGGTTACTATCTGCGAGGGGAGAGATCAACACAGATGAAACCAATAAAACATGATGAAGGAAATCTAATTGCCAAAGAAGGGAAACAAAGGAAACGATGGGCTGACCACTTCAAAAAGCTCTTGAATCGACCACCACCTACACTTCGTCCAGAAATACCACTTGTAGCCACAGAGCTACAAGTGAACACAAGCCCTCCGACGAAAGCCGAAGTTCTGAATGCCACAAGGCTGCTGAAATGCGCGAAAGCAGCATGACCAGATGGAATTCCACCAGAAGCTCTAAGAACAGACGCAGGAATGATAGCAGACATGCTCACAGCACCATTGCAGAGGGCCTGGAAGGAAGGAAAGGTACCTGCTGATCGATTCGAAGAAGGGCTACCTTGTCAAACTCCCGAAGAAGGGTGACGCAAGTGTTTGCAAGACCTGGCGCAGAATCATGCTCCACCTCTGTCCACCCAAAGCAAGCCAAATATTGTGCCGCATCATCATGGAGAGACTAAAGGATGCGCTGGATTCAGGAAGCACAAATCATGTGCAGACCAAATTGCGACGCTACGCTTCGCATCATCATAGAACGGAGTATAGAATGGCAGTCAACTCTCTACCTCAACTTCATCGACTCTGAAAAGGCCTTCGACAGCGTCTACCGAGGAGTAGTTTGGCAGTTGCTTCAACACTGCGGAATACCACAAACCTTTATCAATCTCATTCAACAGCTATATGATGACGCCACATGCCAAGTAATTCACAATGGGAAGCTCGATGATGGCTTTGAAGCGAATGCAGGAGTAAGACAAAGCTGTCTACTGTCACCCATGATATTTGTGATTGTGGTGGACTGGATCATGCAGCAAACAGTGAGGAGCGAAAAGAGGGGCATACGCTGGACTGGGGAAAAGATCCTAGGAGATTTGGATTTCGCTGATGACTTGTGTCTAATGTTTCACAAACTCGAAAATCTACAGGCGAAAACTAACAAGTTGACATAAGAGGCAGGGCAGCGAAGACGAGACTTCAAGTGAATGTAGAGAAGACAGAGGTGATGATGATACCCAACCAACAACAATCTCCAAATCACCATCAATAGGGGAAACTTAAAGGAAGTAGCCTCTTTCACCCCTCTAGGCAGCACTGTTTCAACTACAGGCGGCACAGACGAGGGCGTCAAAGCCAACCAGGATCGGGAAACCAGCAAGACAGGCGTTCATTAACCTGAAACCAGTGTGGAGATCTTCTGCACTCAGCATAAAGAACAAGATCCAGATTTTCAACACTAATGTCAAGTCAGTGTTTGTATATGGTTCAGAGACCCGGCGCGTTACGAAAAGCATTTCCAACAAACTACTGATATTAACAACTGCCTACGCTGGTTACTGAAGTTCAGATGGCCAGAAAGAATAAGCAACAAGGAAGTCTGGCAACGAACCAACTAAAAGCCTATCGCCCGATAAATATGCAGGGGAAGTGGAGATGGATTTGGCATACACCGAGAAGACCAACTTGGGATATCATGCGCCGGGCCAGGTCGTCGAGTGGAACCTAGATGGGAAGTGACGAGATGAGCGTCCGAGGGTGACATGGAGGAGATAGTGGGAGGAGGAAATGAGAGCTTCTGGGCAGTCGCGGAGCCAGGTTTAAAAGATTGCAAAGAATAGAGTGGGATGGAGACGTGCTACTGAAGCCCTATGCTCCACTAGGAACCTAAGGGACAAATAATAATAATTTGCAGATCCAGGTGACAGTTTTGATGTACACCATGAGCTAGATAGTCTGATTGTGAAGTAGTATATGTACACATAATGTAATAAATATTCAATTTCATGAAAAAGCTTTTATTCACCTGCTTACATTGTACTTTTGAAGATCGATCTTATTTCAGTATTATTTCCAGTAGACTGGGGTGGCAACGTCATGGATAGTATTAGAAAGGATTGGATGGGATTGTATACTGCTCTTTTCATCTTCATTCTGCCATCATTTGCCTTTCCTTTGAAGTCCAACGCACTGGTAGTTCTGTCACCTAGGGTGGTTATGAAAGCCTTCTCTTCGGCCAAGCTTCTCTTTTTGAGTCTCTGTATTTTATTCGGTTATCCCTGCTGTCTGTCTA